TAAAGCCAAAGCTTTCACTTATTAGTACTGTGCCTTGTCCCTGAGGGATCTGCACCTGCTTTTCACTCAGAACATATGGGTAGTCCTACCCCCCTCAATTTGCTTTCACAGTTTAACAAACACTGGTAATTACCCTTTGAAATGATGTATTAACTAGTTTGTGTATTCACCTTAGAGTTCCATCACCTGAATCTTAGCAACCTAATATATAATCAGCTGAGGAGGATCTGCTGTCAAGGCATTTATTGATTTCAACATACAATATACTGTTTTTATCTATTGGGACAGTTACCCTGACAAAGGGGACCATTAGGTTATTTAAAAATTACTTCATGGGTAAATGCATGTCAGCCTTTTAAATTATTCTCTATGCTTGCAGATTTTTAGACAGCTTTTTCAGTAACTCTTCTAGTATCAAAGTTTGGCTGATTCTCTGTCATTCTCTTCATCTTACCTTTACACTTACTCTTGTGCTCTGCCCACTTTCAAAAAGTAGTATTATTTTCTGGTTCCCTGGGAACTCACTCATTCTTCCTCAATCAAAAATACAGTAATTCCAAGATTATGTCAATTTTCCTCCTATTATATAAGAGATTTAATCAGAAGTTAATGTTATAATACAACTAATTAGCTTGATAGTCTCCCATTCTGACCTGCAGTCCTGATTAACTTTGATCATGATAGGCATTGTTTAGAGGGTAGGGCAGTGGGCACTTCAGCCTTTTGCACTATCTGATACTTATTCACCTCTCCTTGTAAGCAGAAACCTCTTATTCTATAGTAGAAAAATATTTTAAAATTAATTTTTATTGTATTGCTTTTCCCTTGCTGACAAAAGCATTTTGTCTGTCCAGTTTTGATCATAACCTGCTGTGCTGTATGTCTGTTCTTGACAAGGCAGCCTTCTTGTTCCTACTTTTTCAGTATATTTTTTTCAGGTCAGTGATGAGTCCTTAATGCAGCCACAGTGCTCTATCAGTTTTCTTTCCTTTGCATGAGGACAGACTGTTGTTATACATAAATTATAGCCTGTTTTAGAGATCTCTTTTTAGAAACTCTCAGCTCTCTTCAATTTTTCTTTGCTTTTCAATTCCTTCCCCAGGACCTCACATACCAATTCCTTGAGTTTGTTGAAGTTTGCTCTTTTGAAGCCCACTGTTATTGTTCTGCTTCTTTCATCCCTTTCTTTCCCTTTGAATCACGAACTCTGTTGTCTCATGGTATCTTTCATCTTGATTGTTTTCCACATTCAGATTTTCAACTACTTTAACTATTAGACACTGTAAAATCTTAAATAGTAAGATTAGTCCCCATGGTTCCAGCACTAGCTTATATTCACAATTATATCTAAACTGTGCTCACACCAGGCTCAGAACAAATCACATCCTGGCTGTCATCAGAGGGATAAGCAGGTGGTAGGGGTAGGGATGTGAGCACAATGTTTCTCCAGACGTCCATTGGTCTGGAGAAACAAAGAATCAGGGACTATTTGTGGCACTTCAAAATACATCCTCACCCTTTTAAATGCAGCCTAAGATACTCCGTATTTCATCGGCTATCTTGCCTTATGTGTTCGGCAATCTATTTCTCTAGGTTTCAGTCTTTTGGACAATTATCTTTTATTTAAATAAACTAATTCAGGGGATTTTGTATTCAAACGATGGTCTTTAACAGAATCATTTAACCTTTAACCTGCAGTTTACCTTCATGAAGAAAAGTTACTTTGCTGATGTCTGTGGACCTATATACTCATCTCAGGAGTCATCTGTCCTTCTTCAGGCTTTTATATTCAAGTCCTTTGCCCTTTCCCTTCCTTGCATCAAGAAACAGAGAATTAGGAGATATCTCAAGGGGATATCAAGACACTGCTTCCCCAGAAAAAGTTACTTTATTTTTTACCCTCCTTTTTCCATGAAAAAACCCAGTCTATGTTTGTGCAGCTGATTATCCCAGAAGTTTGCATATATCTGTGTAACATGCCTTACCTTACTGTGTGTCGTTATTCTAAGTTGTTAAGATAATTTTATATTTTAATCACATTCTTAAGCTTGCCTCCAGAGCCCAACACAAACCAGAGCATGTTAATGAAGGTCTGAAGTAATTCCAAGTGCAGGCAGATCTCTTCAGGCCTTTGCTGGACACAATCTTGCATTTCTGTAACAAGCCACTGTCAGATATTCTGTTGTTATCCAAAAAAAGTTGGATCTGTCATTTAAGCACCTTCTTTATTTTTTTTTTTCCCTAGACCTGTTCCACTACCTTGTTTGCAAAAAAAAGTGTTGAGTATCTGCTACTTAGGTGAATAATTTACTCCTGTTACTGTTTATGAGTTTTATCAGATATGACAACAAATAAGCATCTATTTACAGAGATTTTAATTACGACTGTGATGCTTAGGCTCATCCATGCCCAATCAAGCTTTCCAAATTATGTCTCTCTGGTAACAGCAACTCAAATTGTCCAGTACTCTGAACCGAATTCTACCAGTTAAAATGCAGTATTTATTTTAGTGTCTAAATCCACGATATATGAAATCTACATAACGTCAACAACAGAATGCGACCAACCTTAGCATAAGAATGAGAATTGAATTAAATAATCTTACAGCTAAGACACAGGACAGGTTTACAAGACAATATTAAACTTCTGCCTTTTAGGCAAGTTACAAAAGCATCATTTACATCAGACCAAAAAAGAATAAACAGAATGATCAAAGACCAGATCCTAGACTAGATTACTGCAATAGCCTGATGTAACATGGCAACTGCCAATTCCACTTGCACGTGAGACATTGAACTATCACTATTATTTTAAGCTACACACTAAAATAATGCCAGGCTGAAGCTGTCCTGGAATACTTTCAGGTCGTTCACAAAGAATCTTCACATAATAGCTAAAAGCTTTCTTCAAACACAGAAGGAACAAAAGAGCTTCTCTCTCTGCAACGGGAGAGCACACGATTCTGCAAATTAAAGTTTCTAGTCTTACAGGGGTTGTTGTCACTCATTGATAGATTAAAACCAACCACATTAAAATGCTCTTCAAACTTTTTACTGTAGGAATTTTTAAGTAGAAACTTGAAAGGTGAAATTGTTCATTCTCACATGTATTTTACAGGGTTATCAGAGTATGAAATCACATAAAATCCCCCAATGGACTACTCCACCACAAATTAGTAATTTATTGGTACTTAGAATTATTACAAGATCTCTTGGGGGAAAAAACCCAAGAAACTTTTATAATGCAAACTGTAGTGGGGTGCAGTGTTAAAATTACTATCAGAAAATTTCTTACATTTATAGTAAACTTAATGAAGGTAAAAACATTTATAGGTGAAGAATATCTGTTAATAAGGCAAATCGCAAAGATGACCACTCAGTTAAGCTTGATTTATAGGACTTTAGTTTTCAAATATTGTTCAAGCCTGAATTTCCAATGCTTTGAGAGTCCTTTGAAGCTCAACATCACTAAAAAGTAATTATTTATAAAGCATGTTCGGAAAAAAAACTTTCTGGAAAAAAAAAAAAAGAAAAGCTAGCTCTAAACAGAACACAACATGGAATTTAAATAGAATTATGCTCTGGATTGTACTTAAACAAGTAAAAGGGAAAAAAATAGTCTATCTGCACGCTTTCCCTCATCAGAATATCAAGGATTGAAATAGTCAATCATATATTTAACACTGAAAAATTGTTGGCTTCTCCTGCTTTCAAACTGTAGCTTATTTACTTTCTTAATTTACAAACAGATTTCCTCAAGTATTAAATCTTTGCAAATCACATACAGTACTCACAGAAGTGATGAGTCTCAGCAATGCTTATGAAACCAATCCAATATATAAAGAAAAGTCTAGAAGTGGTTGAAAGTTTTCCACAGAAACAAATTTGTCAGAATCATGAATCAGTGTTGATTCATGAATTATTTCCCAGCTTCTTTGTTTGGGATTCAACAGAATAGTTCATAGGATCCAATTTAATTCATCCCTGTTTCCTGGCAGGCTTCTGCAGGTGTTAGAGCTGGAAGCCAGATTTCAAATGGAGCTAGTATAACTAGGACACACTTCCCAGCTCTCTGGCAGGAGGCCTTAAAACCCCAGGGATCCTGGGGATAGACACCTGCAAAGGGACACACAAAGAGCACCAATACACAGAACAACTGGGAAGACTCCCAAGGAGCAGACTTCATTTCAGAACTCCATGAGTTACTGTTTGAAAAATAAACACAAAAACAAGATGCAGGGAAAAATGTGTTAAAAATGAAGAAGAGCTAGCACAGCTGGTGGCAATTCTGGCTTAAAGAACAAACTCCATTTTTTTCCCCTAAAATTCTAGTTTGGTACTGGAATGGAAGCATGGGACCAGACTGCATACAATTTATGCAATACAATTACAGATGCCAATAATATTTTGTCAATTAGATAGAACTGAACTTGTTTCTTTGACATGTTTTGTCCTGTTTTTTCTTTTAAAAGGACATTACCCACAAAGAGAGAAAACTTTAGTCCAACCCTTACTACTTGTTAGTCATAAATAAGCAGTACAGTTATATGCTAGATGTAACTTTATTCTGAAATCTGTGTCATATAAGATGTGCATACACCAGTGTTCATGGACGAAAAATAAACCAGTTTCCTTGTAAAGCAGTGATTTCTTTCTTTCTTTCAATAGTTATTTACATTTGTTGCTGTTGTTGTGGGGTGGTGCCTAAATACAATATCTAAAATGTCTGATGGATGGGAATACCCCAAAGTAGTACCATAACTCAATACTAAGCATTAATAGCAATAAAAGGTCTGAATACACCAAAGCATTATCCAGAAGACATGAGATGATTTTCAAACTCTTGTATAGCACCAGTTATTGTCATGGAATAAACATAATATTTTGTAGATATAGTAGGTGCTTTATATCCTGATAAAAAATGTAAGAAATATATGAACTAATTCTCGTAAGTGCAAAATGTAAATGATAAGAAAATCCACAAAAGCAATTTCAACAGTCTGACTGGTAACTATATAAAATGCATTTATTAAGATCATGTGACGCAAGTTTCGTGGGGTTCTTTACATTAGTAAAGCTTATGCTACTTAAAATTTCACTGTCTTTTAAAGGCAAGGCGTGGCTTTAGGTGAATGGTAATTTTTAATTGAGAGAAACCCAAATAACTACTAATAAAAACAATTATTTAAAATAAATGCACACAGATAAAATATATGAAATATTTCTGAAGATAAGGTTTTCATTGACATTCTTAAATCATTGTATTATATAAAGTTATAAGATAAAGATTAAATGTTTTCACATTTGGCAATATTTAGAGAAATAGCAACAGAATTTTATTCCTTAAGAGTAAGTCAGAACACTGTTATTAATGACATGTTAAACCTACATATGATAGATAACATAATAAATCATATTAAAAGTAGAACAAAAGCAAGAAAACCCTGTTGAGGACTGAGATTTCCAGTATTTAAACAAATAAGAGACAAAAATCAGTATTATTGTATTAGTATGGGAAAGTAAATGAGGTATTTAATGTAAAGTATTGACATATCTTTTTTTTTACTTAGAAAGACGAGAGAGGCCTGTGATGTATATATTGCTGTTATTGACAAGAGAAAAGGAGATGCTTTCCTCTTAAACACTGAGAAAGCTACAATTTAACATGTGCACATGCACTTCTGTCAAATACAACAGTACCATTTGCAAAATACTAGACATGTGCACGTTCCCATTTCTAACATCATTACGCTTCCCCACCACTAACACATGACAAGACACTTAGTTCGTATCTGCCCATCTCTGAAAACATTTTCTTTTTAAACACAGTTCTATGCAAATCACTCTCAGGACAGTGCTTATTTTGGGTTTATTTTGTTGGTCTTTTTGCCCTTCCCTACCTCTCTTTCAACACTACTATTGTTCCCTCCAGTAGAAATATTTGTAATCTATCTGTAGCCTTAACATTTTGGCTGGGTAGCTCAACAAATTTTCTAGCAATAGCAACCCATTTCATTGTCATTTAGAAGGTCTTATAAGCTCTATGACTAGGTTAGCACCAAAGTTTTACAGGTTGCAGATCCAAATTTCACACAGTTATCTTCTATTAAATGCTGCTGGAGTGCTGCAACTACAAAAGCAACCTCAGGAGCAAATGCCATAGTCAAATGTGCACACATACAGACATACATAAATTGGCCAAGTGACTCTTATGCCAAATACAGATTAAAAAACAATTTCACATTTACTGTCTTCACAATGCCATGAGTGCAGAAGCAGAGCAACAAATTGCTATTACTTGGATTCAGATCTTACTTTCATTTGGAAGCATGTTAGTCTAATGACATTAAAGCCAAACAAAAAAAAAAGTTGAAGGAAAGCATTCTTCTTTCCTTAGTATGCTTCAAGAAATAGACAGTCAATTATTTAAGTCAGTATTTTCATAATACTCAACATAAAAGCAAGACACACCAACAGTCAATGAATAACAGAAGATCTGTGTCCATGAATTAAATGCATGCTGTGACAGGATATAATTGTAGTATGTCTATATAAAAATATATTCAACATTTAATGAACTATACTCTGAACTCTCCTAGTCCAACTTTTCAACAGAAGTGTAATTTTAACTTATTTCCACAGTATTTTTTAGATATTTGTTTTCAGGCTAATTATTTATTTATGCTAAAGAATAGTGACAAAAGTAACAATCCTTTTCATATATACTCTCCCTTTACTTTTATGTCTATTTTTATTCTTCTGATCTGCCATCATGTTGCCAGTGATTCAAATCTGATTAGTCAGCATTTGATAATTCCATGTTAAGAAATATAATAATTTTAACTTGAGATAGTATTTTAAGTCACTTCTCTTAAGTATTTGCTTGGGAATTGGTCCAGTCAACTTAATCCAGTTTTACAGTCAAGACTTGGAATAGAACAGATGAAACATAAATAATTACTGAAATGTTGCTTTCATCCTGCGCAGTGTGTCCTGAATTTTTCGAGCATGTTTTTCTGCTGGTATCTGGTGGAAGTTGGCACAGTTGTCAGCTGCCAAGGCAGAAATGTCTGCGTCTTTAAAATGAGTTATTCTTTGTCTGAGGTAAGACTGCAGCTTGAAATCTGGTGTATATGTATAAGGATTCTCTTGAAATGCATGAACTTGGCTCACAACTTTTGCAATATTTCTTGTAAGAGAATATGGTAAAAAAAGATTAGTTTGTTTTGCTGATGATAAAAACAAAAGCATAAACCAAAAAAGCAAACTTTCAAAGGCATTGAGCATTTTATTCTATATTATAGGTATTTTAAATTAGATGTCCAAATGACTGAACCTGTGAAACGCTGCACTAGATCTCATTATCCTGTTAGACAATATTCTAAAGTTAGGTGATATACATATAATTAAAATAATTACCTAAGTTTAGTCCACTTGTGAGCTCCATTTGTCATTGTAAATCCTCCAGTTTCAAGTTGTTGGACATGCATAGCCAAAACATGGGCTGATGGAATTGTTGGAAGAGTTTTGAATCTGTCTCCTTCCATCAAGCATAAGCTGTCACTTTTTAAAAATACCTAGTTTAAAAATGCACACAGATTAATCTCACATTAAGTATCAGTGAAAGCTTTACAGGTTCTCCATGTATTTAACACCTATTTTATTTGTTCTTGAACATTAACTTTTGGCATTGAAGTTGGAGACAATGCTGTAAATTAATCTAGTGGGAAAGTTTTTTAAGTACACAAATAAAGAAAGTAACTTTAATCAAAAGATACTTCATAGATAATTTTAATTGTTCTAAATCACAGCCAAAATTGCATTTTAAAACTTTACTCTATGTTTCAATATTCTACAGATCAGTAAGAGAATGCCTGTGATAAAATAAACGTTTAAGACTTTTCAGAACAGATTACAGCTACAAAGCTCCTGCAGAAATCTTCTAGTGCATATTTAGTGTATCTAATATTTCAGTTGCCTTTGAAATGTCTCTGATTTTTAGCCTAACAGGACAAATGTTAGAGAAGTCCTCAGATTAAAATTTATGTAAACCCTTGAATGAAGAGTAAAAAAGTCTTAAACCAAATTAAAATCTCTTTCATAATACAAAGTAATAATTGTGGCATTCATCCTGCAGAGGTACCCATTTAAGCAGATCTTGCCTCTTCTCCAACCCCAAAGAAGTGTTTTTACATTAAAGACTTTTATACTATACCTCAACAGCTTTGAGTTCCTCCATTATCTCAGCTACTTTTGCAGGTAAAATTTTCCAGGCCTTACAATAAAAAACAAATAATTTCGTTTTTCACAGTAATGTCCATAATGGAACAAGATTATATTAAGCAAAGTGGTTAGAGAACAGAGTCCCAAACTTACTGGTAACTGTCGTACAATAAGATTTTCCAAGCCTGCTAGGATTTGCATTGCAGTAGCAAAATTTCTTTGTTCATAGCAGTATTTTGCTATAAGAAGGAATTTTGATAGCAAGCTCACCTGCCGCTGAAAAAAAAATTAAAGTATACTATATATACATAAATATATACTCAATAGCCATAGTAAATCTAGATAATAAAATTAAATGAGAAGGAAGAAGTGATGCATTTTCTTTTTCAATTTGTTATCAAAATTGTTGACTGTAGTAACATTTCCCTCCAACACAAAGTTTTTCCTTTTCTGTCACCCCCAAGTCCTTGATAAAGTTTGACATGTATTCTCCTAAGACAACCCATTTCTTACATTCTATTAGGTTTTGACACCTGCTACTAGAAAACATCCAAGACCCTCCCTGGGACAACAAACCAAATTGTTAACTGCCCACTCACAGGTGTATTTCAGAGTATTTTTTGTAGCTTTGCTGCATAACAACACATACATAATAAAAAACAATTAACCATTTAATAGTTAATAATACAGTAAACAAGGACGAACCTTAGTTGTGTGACATGTTACAATTTCAGCAGCAACCCAGGTGCTGATACTGTCTGCATTTCTTAATAATTGCAGAAGATACTGGTCTTGTATGCACTTTGACAGAAACAGATTACAGACTTTAAGTGAAACTGTCTCAGTAGAAACTGCCCTATGGAGAATATGGAAAAAAAAAAGCAAAAATAATTTCTGCTGATATGAGATTTTCAAAGAAAATCTTGATTGTGAAGAGGCCAACTTCTAACCATTTAAAATAATTTTGCATTGCTTGCAGTCTTTTTATAATATCTTGTGATGTACATAGTAAGCCATGTTACTTTTTCTTCCTTATAATTACAAGATAATTATATCTGATCAAAAAATAAGCATATGCAGTATACATTTTTATAAATACACCACTCCATAGGGAATAAAACAAACCATCCTATCTGACACAAAGTAACAGCCAGGAATCCAAACTCACAAAAAACTGCAGCCACATAAGAAATTGAACCTGATACCTAGTGACATCACACGCTTTGTTTCCCATGACTGAACCCCAAAATCTGTATAAACCAGCTGATTGAGCCTTGGCATAGAACAATCTGTAAACAGATGAGTTGCTTTAGAAATTCATTCCCTATCTTTAGACACAAAAGGCTACTACAGGTAGTGCAATTAACAAGTACTAATTAGAAGCTAGCTGAATCCACTGTGTATGAAAGAAGTAGACCATAATAAAAAACAACGAGGTCCATGTGGCTGGATGAAAATAATAATTGCCAATGTACAAGCAATTTAAATAGGTTGGTAATCACTCTAGGAACTATAGGGAAATTCTTACGTTATCTTCAAATACTGATAACTCATTTACCTGTACAAAATGAACATTGCACAGAGAAGCTGCAGAGTCTCCATTCACATTCCAACTGCACACAATCTTGGGCAACCTAGTCTAACTGACCTTGCAGGATGGTTGAAATACATCATCCTGAGAGGTCTCTTTCAACCTCAGCTGTTCTGTGAGACCATAACTGTCTTTTGAGATTTTATATACATACAAACATGCATGATCAAGGATCCTATTTCAGAATCCATTACATTTTTTTCTTTCCAAAAAATGAAATCTTTGAAGCAACACCCCAACACAAGTCTTTAGAAATATTTTGGGCTGACCTGATTTAGATTGGAAAGAAATCACCTTGCAAATGTGACCTTCCACATACGAGTATGTGGATAGGTACATACACAGACACATGTATAAAATCTCCTGAAATTAAAAAAACCATATAAACAGGCTATTTCTTCTGAAACAAACAAACAAACAAACAAAACCCAAAACAAACCACCAAACCCATGACTGAGTATTTAAAATGTTTCTCTCTTTCTGTCTGTATTAAAAGCGTAACATGGTCAGTTATTGTACATCAATAGAATAGAAGGGCAGTTAAGCAACTTACTTTTGCAGAGCAACACATTTGTCTTTAACACCAAGTGCTCTTGAATTTAGAAAGTGTACTGGATGACACTTTAGAAATACTTCCTAAAGAAAAAGAGCAAGATATATCTCCTGTTAGCTCTAACAATTCTTTTAAAATGCTTGGGGATAAAAATGACAGACTGTGTCCTCCTCCCATCCCACCTTCATAAGTTTCTGAGAGGGATCACAGCCTAAGAATAGCATTAGTCACTCCAAATTTCACTGTATAGATTTCATGAGGAAAATGGATTATTTTAATTCAAAGTCTTATAAAATAGTATGAAATAAGCCTGAAACACGGTTGAGAAATGATAGAGAAAGAAGGCTGAGTGCAAAGTAAGAAGATGGGTATTATTTCCAAATAAACCTAGACCTCTGTACCTGCTGCAGTAATGTCAGCTGCCAACAAAGCTGTTGTGCACTGTACTCTGTTAAGAGATACGGTCCCACTGCATCTGCTTTAGCTTCTGTTACACTGCATGGCTTTGGCAAAACTACTGAACCAGCGTGCAGCCGCTCTCTCTGATGTTGTGCAATTGGTCCCACACCTTTGGATAGCTTCCAGTAAAAGTTCTGTAGAAAAAAAATACAATGTAAGGATACAACTTCTCTAAAACCAACACTAGGTCTCCCCTTGATGTAACTTTCAGGAATGTTTTGTTAAGAGAAACACCTTTGTGGAGGATGCAGAACTCTTCAGCTAATCTTCAAGGTTAGCCCAGACACTAATTGGTTTACTGAACATTGCTATTTTAAGCTAATATAATATGCACAGTTGATGACTCTGAGCAGGAGGTTGCCAGATCTCAATCAACAATCAGTATTTAAAACAAACCACTGTGTATTCAAGCTTGTTGCCATAAAATGTTTTATAATCTGAAGTTCTATATATTTTACTTCTCATTATTTCTTGTATCCATTTTGCTTAGAATCAAACATTCCTCTGCCAGAAATACTTGGTTTTCCATTCCCTTCTTCTGTCTTCCAGTATCATTATGACACAGTGACAGTAAGAAATGTCTATGCTTCTCTTGCTGCTTGCCCTTTTTTGGCTGAATCCACAGTATACAGAGTATACACTTTTATCAGAAGGCTGATTCCAAATTTAACTGGCACATTGTTGATACATTTGACTTCCACACGTTATTTTGGTCACTCTGTAAAGAGATCTGTTTTCAGGAAAAGCCTACAGTATGTTCTGGCTTCTGGGACTCTAGCACACTGTATAAAATAGTAAATACAGACAAGCTCTTGCTACAATCTTTGAAGTTTTAGCAGGAAACCTCTCATCTCCTGATGTTTTCCTGTATTTTTAGTCTTATAAAGACCTATGCCTAATAAAAAACATCAATGTTTGACAAGGGGGTAATGGTTTCCCAGTAACTATGAGTCACGTGTCAAGAATGAAGAGTTCAACTCTCAAAATTTTGATTATCTGATTTATTATTGCTGAAATAGCTGACAGTAATTAAGACTTAAGATTATTATCACAGTTACAAAACTGTTTGGGCCTTAGATATCTTCAAAAGAAAATTTAAAATGCATGTACGTAATTTTTAGTGAATATGTGGTCTGGACTCTAAGTTGGATACTTCTGTTTTTGTCAAAACATAATATATGGAAATGTGCTCCATACACTGCAGTCTGAAGAAAAGACATACCTTTCTGGAAACGTCTTCTGAGAGCTTTTTACATAGGGAATGTAATGTTTTTCTGCCCTCCTCACCTTCCTCTTCACATTTGTCCATGCTGGAGCACTGATCAGCACTGCCACTTTTCCTGGCAGAGGCATCCTCAAGCAATGACAACAATCTCTCACCATAGCCATTTAATGAAGCAACCTGGAAATGCAAAACAGGTTAACAGAATACTGAACTCAATTTCCCATAAATTATAAGCAAGCCATAACACAGTTGTAAGATTCACATTTGCCCAAACCCAGGCGCATTGAATATGACTGTCAAAGATAGGATTATTTTTCTTTTATTTACTTTAATTGTACTTATGACAGTTTTTTGTAATAAAAACCTTACATATACCAAAAATGATTTCAATTTTTTTTTTGTTAGAGTACCTACTGAAACTCTAACTTACCTTGGAAGAAATAAATTCTTTTAGGGTACACAGAAGACCAGTATTTGTTGCAAAGTCTACACTATAGCAGTCTTCAATCCAAGCCTGCAGGATGTAGAAACTGCGGTTACATATTTTGGTAAGTGGTGTGGAAGGATCCAGGCTTGCACTGGTGAGACATAAAAAAGCACTTAGTACACCAAAATTGATATCCATTTTCAATTTAAAAATAAGTGTTGAAAAAACTCACAAGTATTATTTGGTATTGACTGTACTATCTTAAATTCCTACATTTCATGTCTCTATGGAAACAAAGCTGTGGTTCTATTTACTACCCATTACTGAGTAACTGGTAAAAGTAAGACTTGGAATTCAGAAGAAAATAGAAGTAAGCACATTGACAAATGCAGCTCTTGCTCTAATTTCACTCTCACTTGTCAAGAGAGTCTTAAAAAACAAACATAAAAATTAATTTTAATTAAGTAGAACTTCTGAGAAACAGCTATTTGTTATTGGGGGAAACTCAATTGTACTTTGATAACATTTTCCATGGGAATTTACTGTACCTGGATAAAGTGCTGCTGATTCTATCAAGAAGAAACTGCAAAAACTCTTCTTGTGTGCAGAAATAGCGAAATGTGTAGAGAAACTGCTGTACATAACCTTCTAAAAATGCATTTCTGTAAAGCACAAGAAAAACCTCAGACAAGTCAGAACACATTGTCTTTTTGCATTAGAGTACAGTAACAGCAAAAAATACTGAAAATACCAAGAAGTATTTTAAATTCTCAAGTTCTACATAAAACCTTGATCTTTTGTTACTAATTTTTACACAAAGACTGTGATTGCCAACACCGAAAGCATAATTTGTTTTATAAAGAGTTTCTCTACTTTCAATTTTGTGAATAACCACATTGACATTTCTATTATTAATAAAAGTTACAATCTAAATACTATAAAAGAACATATTCTTTTCTATCATCTCACTTGATGTTGCTTTAATGTTTTTTATTATAATAACATCATAAAAAGTAGATATATTAGGAAAGAAAATATTCCCTCTAGCTCTAATTAGAGAAGTAGTTACTTTAACAGCAGAATACATTTATTATACACACATTAAAAATTAGGGTATTTTTATATACACACACTCTCAAGGTCTTAACACAGGTTAAATGTCCTGTTTCTCTGTTGGCTTACAGCTCATCATGAAAGATGGGTTTGATGAATGTGAAAGCTCTGATTTCAAAACAGTTTCTTCACTTCGTGCAAAAGACATGGAAACATACCAGGAAAAGCTGCACTTAGGGTAAGTAACTGGATCTCAGATTCAGGATGAGCTGGGAGGAATTTGGCCCCCCTACAGCAGTGCAAGTCTGATGGAGCCTCTGGCAATTTCCATGCTTCATACTATTATAGTGCAAGTACCTTAAAACAACACTGCCCTTTAGCCTACTTGAAGGACAGCTTTGTCCCCATTTAAGCCCTTGGATAAGCTTGAGTCTTGATCAGTGCCAAGGTCTAATTATTGGCACAATCATCTGTGGAACAGAACCTAAACATTTTCACATCCAGACCCTATTAATAAAAATTACTAAATTATATGATCTGAGGAATTGTACTGCTGGCAGTAACATAAAGCCTTGATTCCATGGCAACTATCAGAGTAAAACCTCAAATAAGTAAAGGATAAAGTCTGAAGTTATTAGGTTTTTGTTTATTATCAATACTTAGGGTTTTAATTAAACCCAGCCAACCTTTTGCCGTTTTCTTGCCCATTCCTTTTAATAAGTGTTCACAGAAATAACAGAAACTTGATACGAGAGGAGAACTTATTCAGTGTTGAGTAAGTAGGATTTATCACAGAGAAGTTTTTCCTGGTTTAACAACTATGCTTCAACCCACCCCCAATTTAGGAGCAAAATATACTATACCTAGAATATAAATAAGCCATTAAACCAAGTGGTGTACCAGCCTGTAGAACTCTTACTCCATTTTGATTATTACACTGGTGTTTCTCTGTGTTATAGTAAAGAAGCAATGACGATTCATCCATAGATGCCATGTCCATGGTGTCAGTTTTCCCGTTGTGAATGACTGTAGGCAGCACACAGGATTCCACACCCCACTGCTCTGCATACATCATCTGCTCAAAGAAACAAGGCCATGATAAAATAAAATGTAAGAAAATAAAGAGGAAAATCCATACAGAATGCAATCAACTTAAAGTCAAATTGCATTTCATACCATTTTTTCCCTTTTTAAACAATACTAATAGCACTTACCTTTATTTTAATAATTCTTTTAGATCCTACTTAATTTGGCACTTGGACACAAAATATTTCACATTTCATATAGTGATTTGAGCTGCCAACTACACTGATGCAGTAATGAAATGACAAATGAAGCACAAGTGAAATCAAGTCTGACTTGCCTGAACATATTTCTTTACCAGTTCAAGAAATTGCACTTTTGATTTCATCTCCTGTAGCTGTCCTCTCAATTTGGGCAACATAGATTTAGTTTCAGGACCTTTAGATTTAAAACACACAGCATAAGAACATCAATTATTCTGATTTACAGAACAAGTCCTTAAAAGTACTACATACCCATGGTATTACTGGCAAGTTGCTGTAATCTTACCTTTGCTTCTTCTTTCTTTCTGCAATAGTTTCTGGTAAAACTTTATAGTCTTTCTGTAATTTTTTGTTTCCATCATTAGCAATTGTTCTAGTTCCTGTTTAAAAAGACCAGGATGGTAAATGCAAGGCAATTTTAGAAAGAAACGGAAGTTTTACGAGAGAATTATTTTGTATGAAAAAAAAGAACATCCAAACAGACAATAATATGGTACTAACCATGAAAAACTACCTTTCACACCTGTGCTTACAGCCAAGTTATAGCAGGCATTACCTGTCCCCAGAAAAGTATTAGTTATGTCACGGTTCTACAACTAGAGCTGTTTTGTGCATGATGAGACTGCATGGAAGTTTGTCTGAAAGCATTTACATAAATATGCCTTTAGTTATAATTACACTTAGCTGGTTGTTTTCAAGAGCATTTTTAAAACTTACAATCAGGAGTCATCTAGAATGAAAAGTTATGGGTTTTGAATTTAGTGTGGACCCCAGAAATGCTGCTAAGCAGCCGACCTATATTTGCAGCAAGAAGTGAATGTCTGACTGAAATCCATGGTTTCCAAACAAGTATAATTGCAAGTATATTATACAACCAGGTCAGAAGGCAGATAGGAGAGCTGCTCTAGAACTAAAGGACATATCAATTTTGAAGTTCAGCTCTCATATTTTACATTTATGCATTTCACATAATTGAAATGATTAAATTTCTATAGAATTATATAACTTAAGCAATGGTTGGAAATGAAAGTATATTGGGCTTCTCATAATATACCCAATTTAATGTAAACATTTATAATTGTTTGCATATCAAAGGTTTCATTATTTTACCAACCAATGAAAATGGGTGACCCATTTTGGGTTCAGTTTCTAATTTGTTATGAAACAATAAACATAATGTATGTTGTGCTTTATAGAAGTAATGGCTTTTTCATTTGGGTCCTGAGCTAACTACCAGTGACCCAGTTACATGAAACTGCATTTTAAATGGAGAAAGTTCACAGAATGCAGCAGACAACTCCCACAAGCAGAGTGATCAGAAAACACACAGCTCAGGGCTAACATATCAAACAACAGATTGGTAAATAGGTTACCTTTAATGGGATGGACTTGCTAGAAATTAATTTGAGTTTAAGAAAAACCTGTCACTGTTTTTCAGAAAAGCTCAAAAGGTTTAACAACGTAGTTCATTAGCATCAAGAGTCACAAAAGCCCAGTGGATTTTTAAAAGATCTACCGCTGCACAGGCGTCACACAGAGAATAGGGAAAGCACAGAAAAACTATTATCCACATTCTAATTGGAAGCTGCTTGCTTTTACTTCAAGGTCTGGTTTTGCTTTGTCAATTAAAGCAAAACAAGTTGATTAAGAAACTATAAAAACTAAGGGAATCAGAAAGAGTGGGCATGTGGAAACTGATGGACAAAAGTTGTTTGTCCCCTAAAAAACTTGAGGTAAGTAGCAATGAAGTTAGAAGCCAATTTCCTTTCTATTCCACAACATTTTCCAATTCAGTTTGGTCTAGAATATAAAAACTTTTGATGAAGCTACACACCCAATTGTTCTGCTCCCTCTGAAGTGCACTTAATTTGTCAGGACACATTTCTATAGAACATGCCTTAGTGTAGGAAACAGAGTAATGATAGAATGACTTTGCTAACTTGGAAAATGTGCAAATTCCAATCTGTAAAAATTCTTCTAAAGCAGAAGAATTATCTCAGTTTTATAGCCAACCTTTTAAAAATATGCCAGAGACTTGGAGCAAAAAAAGTAGCTGATCTAATCCTAGTCTGACAATGAAATTTAGACTTCTATTAATCAAGGAATGGTTTCCAAAATAAAACTGATTAATAGAGGATTTAAACAAAGAAAGAGAGAGTGAAGACAAATTTTTGCTTTGAACTTCAAATATTAATAAAAAATTTTACAAACTGAAGCTTGTTATGGATAGATGTCAAAATGTAAAAATTAAGTAAATGTAATCAATATGATCTTTAAGGAAACGAAAGACCTTGCTAATCTAAAATGCATCATCCTACCCATACTGCCCCAGCTTCTTTAAAGGCTGCACTAATTATGATGATTATGATGTTTAGCCATCTCCAAGTGAAGATGGGAGCAATTAACCATCATTCTGTTGGCAAAGGGCGAGAAGCTGTGACAAAAGAAAAGGGCTCAGAGCCCATGACAGGGAGGACCTCTTGTGGGCCTGCGATGTGCTCCCATCATAGTCATTCTTAGGTCTTTTCTATAATATCACCACCATGGGGTTGGTGCATATAAGCTGATGGTTCTTTCCCAGTCAACTTCAGGAACAGAAGATGGGTTGTAGGTTGGTGATAGCACTTTTGCCTCAGTGCTCTTTATTTTAGGATACTACCCCTACTGTGGTTTATTGCTAAGACATGACAAATCTTGAGGATTTTAAACAAGAGTCAGTATTTAAAAGAAGAAATGATGTTTTGACTCACTAGAACACAACAATTAGTATCCTACTTTTAACCAGCAAGTAAAGACATATCTTAATGATTTAAAATCAATATACTCACCACTTTTTTAGCATCTATATTTTGTGACTCACTTGATTTCTGCTTTCCAAGGTTTTTCAAGTAACTATGAACTTCTGAATCAAAACATTCAGCTCCATAAAAGGCACTGCTCCAACCAGGACTACAGCCATTAAAGTCAGGTAGACTGGGAGATGCTAGGTAGCTGTTTCCAGCTGTCTTTATCATGGCTTCTTCCTCTGGCCCTGTATTTTCTTCTGCCAAGTCTGGACCAATACAACAGCTGTTGCTTTGCAGACTTTGTCCCTCTTTCTCTGTGGGGATAGTACTCTGCAGTCTCAGTTCTTTTTTGATATTGTCTGAAGGTGACTCATCAAAATCCATTTCAACTAATGATGTATTTATCAGAGGCTCAGCCTTCACATCAAGATTTGCTTCCCCTTTTTCTAAAGAAGGTGTATGGGGGAAAAAGAAATAATGGTCATGTCCTGTGGTTCATGCTTTGTTGAACTTAAACACTACCCATACAAGACACTTGAAAGACTACTTATGCACTCTAACAGTGGTGTCAGATGCTTATCTTGGCTTTGCACTTTCTTTTTCTCAACTACACATTGTAAAATGATAAAGGCTAAAGGCATTTCAGAACTATTACCCAATAGTTAAACAATGCATTTTTGAAAATTACAAAATATTTTCCACACAACAAGCATTTAAACAAAGCACAGCAGAGAAGCTTTGAAATGGAGGTAAAATATGTCAGACATATGTCAAGACATTTGTAAAATGCTTAGCTCTTGAGGTTTTTTTCCATCCATAAGTCTTGAAGCTTTTATTCCATACATAGAGGGCAAGAATACTTGATACAGCCAATGGAGACGTAGACGTTAAACTTTCTATTCCTACAGGACTCAATCCCTTGAGCTATGACAGGACTTCTTTGCTGTTCCAACAGTTACTACCAACCTTCAGGGACTGAGGTGACAGTCAAAAGTCAGCATAGGGCTCACAGGAGCTTTTATGCCTGCCACAAGTCTCTCTTTTCACTTCAGCAACCCTCCAGGGCTTAGATATGTCACCTTGGAGTCAAATGAACCTAAATTACTGGTGCAAAGAAATCACATACTCCATGGTAAAGTCTGGCTCTACATTTGCAATCATTCTGAGCCAAAACAGAAAATTGTAACATAGAACAATGGCAGCCAAATGCAAAAGTACAAATTTCTGTTTCACTATAAAAATTAACAATTTAAGTGTATAAGCTCTTCCATAAAGAACACACAGTTTATCTTTTCTCAAAACAAAGAAGTAATCAAGTTTAAATGCTGCAATTTGGATGAACTAAAAAAGGAAGTTACTGTTTACATGGATGTCTGTTGAAAACTCCAAAAATTATAACTGCTGCATGTGGTTTTCCTGTGTTCTAACTGATGTTCTAGTGGCATGCTTTAAAGTAGGGAGAAGGGGGGGATAGTCATACTGAGGAAGTAACAAAATGTCATCCTACTCAATGACATTGGGTCATATTTTAGCTTCATATAAAAGACATTTATGTCCTCAAGACGTTGATAATGTTCAGATTCATTGATACTCTCTGTAAGTGTTAAAGCAAGTGTTTTCCTGAAGACACATCCAAAATGTCAATCTCTCAAAGCTGAGATCTATCAGTGTCACTGATAGATTCCTAGCACCTAGAAAGATCTAGAAACATGAAGTCCCTTCTCACCCTTTGTCTGGTCACTGCTTGCCAAAAAGCTTTCGGATTTCTTCAGATCTTGGACTATTTTGCCACAATTTGTATCACTTGCCTCAGTTATGCTGAAAATACAAGAAGATTAAGAAAAATATTTTTCAGGTAGATAGGTATGTCACTGCAGATGAAATAGGCAAAATGAGAAATTCATTAAGCTGGTGTTTCCTCACTTAACAGGCTACTTACAAAAGACTGCCAGGAGGAACATTGAATAAAATTACACCAGTTAAGCAAAACATTTCTAGAAAAGCTAAATTAATTTCCTTTTTCTTGGATGTAAATAGAAAACAAGGATGTATAAACAACTAATATCAGACCAAGCAAACTGAACAGTAAGAGGAATATATTTAACTTTTAACTAAACGGCCTCTGTTTAACAAGACTATGAAGCTCTCCATCAATGGTTGTAACCAGTATTGATCAGAGATAGCTTTCCATTATTCAACTATCCTAAGATGGAGTTATAGACAAGTGTAGTAGAAAATATTTTTGACTGAACCATTGAGCACTATTTGCCATGGAGAAAGTCATGAAATACCTAATAAACTGTGAAATTAAGAGTTCACAGAAAATAAGTAAGGATACCTAAAGACAAGCAACATATCCTTTCCTGCTTCTAGAAAGTAGGGATAAAAGTATTAAATTCAACTCTTTGAATGAATGAATGAAAAAGTTGAAAAACACCTACCATAAGTGTGAAGATCTTTCTCCATTTACTACGTTATAGAGATTCTCTAGTAATTTTTCATCCCAATATAGGTCACAAAACTTCTCACAAATTCTATCAGAGAACACACCAAACTTCATTTCCTTTAAGTTTAAAATGAAGTTACCTTGTTTAAAATAAGAACAGAAACAAACAAAAGAGGGAGAAAAAAGACATTAATAACAATATTCTCACAGATCAATGACAACAATATATAGAAGAGAGTGCACATACCCATATCAAAAACCTCAACTCCATTCTCTAGATAGCCATCAAATGCAAACTCCTCTTGTATAAGATGAATCACTTTCTGAAGTAAAGCATCACTTTTTCTGTTCTGATGGGGTAGCACTTTATCATCAAAGAAATTATAATTGTCTTTATTCACTGAGGTACATGGTGTGTGCTCTTGTTCAGTGAAAATACTGTCTACATTGGTAGCACACACAGTTTCTTGGCAGTTGGTTTGAGTAACTGAGCTTCTTTCATCAAACTCGTTCTGTGTATTAGTAGTCTCATGATTTTGCACATTACCAAGGGAGGCATCTTCTGCTTGCATGCTCATTTTATAACTTGCAATAGTACTTGAAAGTAACACTGGCAAACTGTGATAACAATCATAAGCAATTCTTGAACGAAGAGGCTTATTTTGTATTTGCTCTGATACAGCTAAATGTACTGGTACAAATGTCAACACTCTTCTCTCCGAGTCCTGTTTGAGAATGATGTTATTTATATGAAGAAAATTAGGAGATGTAGGACAAGCTAAGGAGCTGGAAGGATCTTCAGATAAAATGCTCTTTCCTTGTAGAATATGTGAGGAATCAGACAGTGATGGTAATGTAACCGAAGAAGTAAATGTATTGCCTGATTTTTGCTCTTCTGCAGATAACTGGAATGAGTGGCCTGGAACTTGTAAATCACACTCAGGTGTTTCAGGTGCCTTTTCAACAACATCTGTGTACTCAACACCACAGCGTTTAGAGTCTTCTGCATATCCTGAGTTGTTGTGGTCCATATGGTTTTCTCTTCTTTTCTCTTTCTTGAATTGCTCAGAAACTGGTGTGTGAACCTCTCTGAAAAAGAACAAAGGATTTTTTTAAGGAAAATTCCAGTAGATTTAACAAAGAAGTCTAAATTTTAACTTATTCTTCTTTAGGATATACTCACTTTGTTATATTTGCATCTTGTTGTAGAATAATAGGCTTAAAGTGAGTTGCAGGAGAGGTGAATGCAACAGGTAATTTAGCTATCTCACAATTTAGTGAAATCTGGCATGGCACTGGTCCTTGAACTGCTACAAGTTTACTTTCACTGGTAAAAGGCACAAATCCTAAAAATAAAAACACAGTTAGAAAGATGAACAATATGAAAAATATAAATGCAAGGTAAATAACAATCAATTTAGATAGAAAAACAATTGCATATCAGACTGTGAAAAATCTTACAAGGAGTACTGATCCAGAGAATACTAAAACAAACTAAATATGTCAGAGCCTGACTGCTTACCTAGACTTGACTCTGAAGAGTCTGTTTCTATTTCATGCTTTTCATTTTTCAGTTCAAAAGCAACATGATCTTGGGACAAGACTTCTTCCTCAACAGCCTAACAAAAATTGAAGCCCAAATTGAATTTATTAGCATTTTCTTTTTTTAAATTCTGTTCAGCACATTACTTCAAAAAACCCCCCAAGCTTCATATAAAACTAGAATGCTGCAAAGCAACAACCTGGTCATGCCAAGGTGAAATTTTAAAACAAATTACATACAGAATTCTAAGGACTGGTAGAACTATTTAGAAATCTTGATAACACTGTTTCAAATCAGAACTTTAAGGTTAATCAAACTTTTGAACAAAGTCAGTTCCACAGATTGACTGAATGCTGCACGCATTATATACACACATTTGAAACATAAACAGAACACAAAAATTACACATTAATGACTTCTGATAAGAGGGGTGCTAAATAAAAAGACAGATCATAAAATTAAGTCACTGTTCTTCACCCATACAGATTGTGGTGTCAGAGCATCACAGTCTGTGATCATTCTGATAGCAAGACCTAGGAAAGGGCAATACCTATAGACTACTTGAAAATAAATTAAAAAAAACCAAAACCCAGCAAACCCCCAACAACAAAACCAAGTCTAACGACACTTTCAGGGCACAAAATCTTACTGGAATATATTTACAGAATTAATTGAAAAAACATACAGAATTAAACAAAGGTGGCACTCTTACCTTAAAGACAGATTTACTCAATAAGATCAAAATATTTTTGCTGTTTATACCTTGTTCAAGTAAGTAATGATTGCATGTCTAAAAAAAAGACAAAACATAATTTTCAGTCAGTAAATAAGTTTTCAATCAAGTGAGGTATTCTTGGACAAGGACAAAGTCAAGATTAATAGTCAATTAGAAGTAATCTAAGTTTAGGAAGTCTTATGAACCTACTCAGAGTACCTTACTGAGAATTTCAATATAAATTAAAAACACACCCCTCTGTGTCCCTAAGGAGGTAAATTTAAAAATAAAATGCCAAGGTGAATGGTTATGAATTAATTAGACATCGGTCTACTAAAAATACTAAATTATTATTTTGATTTTCAAATAACTAAAATGAGACTTTAGACACAACTAGATTTCACATAAAATTGCTTAAATCTAGTAACCTTAATTGCAGCAGCTAGAGAAGGTCTTTCATCAGGGATTTTTCTTGCCATATCCAGAAGTAGTTTTTTTAATTTTCTTGGCAATACTAGTTTATGACCTGGTGGAACACTGTATTTTGCAGCCATCCACAGAACTGCAGCAACACCATAAATGCAGACCTATTGGTACAATGTAAGAGACAGGAAAGATATAAGCAGACCAAAAAAAAAAAGCCTCCACTTCAAAAACAATTCCAGCAAATTATCCAAAAATTCCTCCCCAGTCCCCGCCAAAAAAAACCACAAACAAAACAAAAACAACTAAAACCCCTGAAGCTTTTAAACTACAGATTACATTCATGGTTTTTGAAGGTGCTGATGAAAATCCCAGCCCATTTCGAAAACTACTTATTACGCATGCAGCGCCATTAGCAGTAGCTGATTTTCTACTGTTGGAATAACAAACACTATTTGTCTTAGTCTTTGTCTAGGGAAATTATTCAGGAAAAAGGTATTTTAGAACCACTTTGAAGAATTTTTTTTCATATATAAAGATTGCTGCAAGCCTCAGAATTCTACCATAAAACCAGGTCAGTCACAATTTACTTAAAAAAGGTCATGATAATTCAGCAAGTAAGTGCCACACAGTAATTACAAGCTAATCAGTACAACTCATATTTTACAGAGAAGATTACACTTGTCAGAAGAATGAGGTACTGCATATTTATTTCAGCAATTATTGTGCTACCTGCATCTAGACCAGCTGAAGTTGCCCCAGTAATGGACCTTGAAAAGTACTTGTTCTTCACAAGCTTTCTTGTTTCATTTGAAGAATTACAGTTTTAAGACAGAGTCAGATTTAGTCCACTTAATGCTTAGTTTATATATGTTAACATGTACTATAAATGCAGCTTTAACAAATTTAAAGCACAATACTTCATATTGCCTCTGCCAGATATTAAAAAGGCTCAATGGACAGAAACCTAAGCATAGCATTAAATAATGTGGTCCCACAAAACAATGTGTCCTAGTACTCTTTCAAGCCAAGTGAACAGCAACCAACAAAATGTAACAAGGCAGTTTACTATAAAGGAAATAATCTGTGAACCATTTCAACTATTGAACAAAACCTATTAATAGCTACAAAAATATTTGAAGTAGGAGAAAGCAACTTCATTAAAGCAAAAAAAATTCTTCTCCTTAGGCTCAGGATTGCAAGATTACCCAAAATTTATTCATTTAGGAAAATCTTGACATCCAATCCATCATATTCTTCAAAGAAAGTTTTTTTACTGTTGTTGTGACTGGCACTACACAATCTTCATTCCCTTATCATAATTTGAACTAAATGTTCATAACCAGGAAGTTATAAAATCATCATGAAAAAGGCAAGAAAACAGGTCAGCTTATTCTATATATAACGTTGTAGAAAAATAAGGAAACAGATTACTTCAGATATTCTAAAGGAAATGAACAAAGCATAAAGACTTTAGGATTATTAATTTCTACTCTCTGATGAAACCAATGTATTGTATTTCAGGGTTAGTTTAAGCTTCTGAAGCCTTTGAAAAACCTGCACGTTGGATCAAAGCAGTTTAAGTAAAAGAAATTTTAAGGAAGATATACAAACATTTTCTAGTTACAGAAATTTGAATGTCTTTAGTACATTTTTTCTGAACACTTTTTTTCTGAATCATGATTATTATGTCTAATTTCAAAGAACTCATGGGACACAAAGTACATATTAGCTAATCTCTTATTACATAATTCTAGTTCCCTAACTTTTAAGATCACTGTTTGCAATTCAGATGCAGTTGCAGCAGAGACACATTCACCTGCTATTTGACATTTTTATTATCTTCAGTCTAAGTGCTCCTTATGGCTTTTATCTATAGCAAGAAGCTCTAGGAAAACTGTATTGGTGAGAGACATAATTCATAACGTTCCCATAGTAGAAACATACTGATAACGATATTTTTATCCAATCTTCTAAATGTGATTAATGTTTGGGCTTTAGCTTAGACTGTCTAAAATACTGATCTCAGTGTGACCTTCAGAATGTGAAAACATGACTTCAAAGTCTGTCTTACTGCTAATAAGCTGAAAATAATTAAGTCTTAAGGAAAACTATTGAATAACAGATTTTTGGCACTTACTCCAAGAACTCTGAAAGGAAAAATTATAAAAGCAACTAATTCATGGGAGATTTGTGTTTAAAAAATCCCCACATATAACGAAGAAATATTGGAGAAATAAGAAATATTAACACAATTTTAGAAGAGTTTAGCTTTCTTCCTCAATTAGCTGTAATAAAAATAAAACTGTCTTTTGATAAAATACAAAGCAACCTATGTAGCCTACCACATTACCTTCTCAGTATCTACATCCTCTTCTTCAATTTCAGGAGCTAAATAAAATACATCACAAGATTCTAAATGAGAAAAGAAATCAGATACAAAAGGTAAGATGTTTGCCACCTTCTCCACTCTCCCTCCAAAGAAACAAAAGTCAAGCATGCAATGTATTAGTTTACCTTCACCTTTTGGAGCAGAAAAGAGGATATTTCCATGGCAGTCAATCAGCACAGAGTCCAAACATAAGACCACTGCAAAACAAATCACAAAAGGGCAAGGCACAATAAGTATCTGTTCTTGTAACTATCTGACATTAATAAAAATAAATAATTTAAAAAAGAACTTGCAATGTCAGCAATTACCCTATGATAAATGATGCTTTAAATAACACTTATGCTAGAACAGACACCAGCCAATAAACAATAGATGTGTAATTACCCAAAGCAACTCCTGCAGAACAAAGACAAAAACCTGGAAGTTTATTCGCTTTATACCCAGTACTGAAAAGGAAGGTCAAGAAAGAAACAAAACATAAAGAAAGAAATATAACAGTTAGATGTACTCTAGTCTTCTCACAAGGTACCAAAAAAACCCTAGACAATTTATCCTTAAGCATTTAAGTCTCTCCTTTCTTTCCTCCTCCAACCCCACAAAACCATAGGGTCATTATCTGGAGCCATATGTGGCCAGATCCAAAACTCCTCTAGGTGTGACAGGATATGAAGTCCTGTTTTGCACAAACAGTTATAATCACACACACTCTCTCACTGAAGAAATGTTACACAGGTCAGTATGTGCAAGGCCATGAAATTTTCCATAGATAAAAAAGAAATAATGGAATTCTAAAACTATTTTAAATGACCTGACGTCTTCAGGAACTTCATATTAAGGTCACGAGATCATGTTATATAAATTTGATGATGAAAAACTTCAGATAACAGTGTCTATCTATTTAATAACTTCAAAGCACACTGTAATTTAACGTTTCAATATATTAGGCCACTTGGCCAGCAGCATAGTCCTGTCTGTGGACTACCATCAAATACATTGTCTTCTTATTAAAAACAGAGTACTAGAAGAATAGATTCTTGCATTAAATAAGAGATAAAAGCATTAAATTGATTAATTACTTAAAATATTAAATAGGTCTAAGAGCAAAACAAATATTAATTTATTATTAAATAAGTAATTGAAGAGGTCTCAGAAAAAAAATAAAGTAAGAAAAAAAAGGAAATATTACTTTTGCTTTTCTGGTTACTTGTACAAAACACATAAATAAAGGCTTGTCTACTACCTTCAATATAATTTAAGCTGGACCTGAAGCATGTGTCTTGAAAAGCAAAGCCTTCCTGAACAGGAACCTTTGCTAGTTATTTCTGCAGAGGCAGCTTCATACTCAATGTCTTTGCTGCTCAGCAGTTAATGCCTCTGGGCCTGAATCTGCCACAAAGTTCACACAAACCAGATCTCCAGTTGTTAAGTACAGTGTACGAATTCTCACCTGGGCTCCCTGAAGCATCCATGAGCAACATGTAAGCAAAATCCTCTGATAAGAGGAGAGGAAATAAGTAAAGTCTCAGTGGAGGTTACAAACAACTTTTGTAGCGGAATTGAATTAGAAAAATACATGAAGAGGCAAGCTTTGGGGTATGTTTTCTTAGCTAGATAATTTCTGCTTAGGATAATGAAAAAAATGTAACCAAGGAGGAAAAAGTGGAAGAAAAGTGTAAAAGTGGAGGAAAAGGTTGTCTAAGTGAATAAATGAATAAACCAGTTTGTTCCACCTTTCCTATATTTAACTATGACTCATCAGCTAACAGTCTTATTCTACCATTGTCAAGACAAAGAATATTTTAACAATATATATTCAAAATATATATCAGTTTCACCTTTAATAAGTTATTCCAAAGAACTGCCAAGAGAACTTCATGTGTGTATGTAGGCACTGAAGTAGTAACACCACTCTAAGTCTTCCCACAATACCCAACTACTCTCAGAACTGGCAGAGAGTCCTCTCACAGAAACATTCCAAATCTGAAAACAATATTCAGCTTCAAGGTAGCTTTATTTGTCAAACATAGCATTTTAAGTAAGGTGTCTTCCATTTGGTGGTTTGTATCATTTTGCTCACTTTTGCAGGCTATGTAAGGTTCAGGTGACAACTCTTCAGTATTTTTAAGACATGCATTCTGGGTGGATGTAAGTGCAGTAACAGAGGCTATCTATGTATATTAAATTAGAATCTAAGCCATTATGTGCAGTCATCTGAAATCTTCACAAACATTACGAACATGCTATGAGGCTGAAATAATCCTTCTGTTGCAAGGTATATTAAATACTTAGTTTTATGGGTAACATTTCTCAAAGTGCTCAGAAATCTTCATTTATGGCTAATTTCCTTTTAAACAGTTTTATATCATAAAAGATAAAATAACTGGAGCTGAAATCCAAAGAGATGCAGTAAGTTTTCTCTACATTAATATCCAATTGTTTATATTCACTTAAAGACTTCAAACTCATCCCTGTTCAAACTCTCAAAAGGAGGTTTTTTAAATCAAGGAAAAGAAAGGCAGTGGGAACCACTGCTCTGTTTATCAGAACTGCTACAGGTTTATCATTAGTATAAACTAAACCAACATTCAGAATGTCTATGGAAATTTAGAATGGTCTTCTCCTGAGTTACATGCAACATATCCCAATTTTGTCAAAGGGCAGTTCTCCATTCCTCTCTCAGAAGTTTGCTTCTGATAATTCTTCTGTAAAATGAAGGACAGGGAATGTGGAAGGAACAACGTCATGACAAGACCTTGGGTGCTTTAAAATGATGAAACCCTGTATTGCCAAAAATATGTCAGGAATCATTTGGCACAAAGAAATTCAAGCAAAAGAGATTTTATGTTTACATACATAGTTACATATATATATGCATATATATATATACACACACACACAAAACTTGCTTCCTCCTGCCTTCAAGTCACAAGTGCTTTTCTTAAAATTCACAGTACAGTTTCTCCATCCCCAAAAGATCTAAACCCAAAATTTGTTTCACTGTTTGAAGTCATAAAGATTAATTTCTGCTGCAAAAGCCATCAAATTCAGAATAAAGAAAAAGAAGGTAGAAAACTTCAATTGAGTAAAATCTCTAAGTCATGATTTAAGAGAGTCAAATCAGAGATATTGTCTATTTTTTTTCTGTACACAAAATTAAAGTCGAGATATTTTCAAACAGAATAAAGAAAACATTAACAAAGTGAACATAAATAATGAGGTAAAATATTTATAATTAAGACTATACCTGGGTAATCTACACAAGTCTGTAGAGCACATAAACACTCATGACATAATGCCCAGAGTTCATAGTCTTTCAGAGGTCTTCCATGCAAGGACAAGAGAAGTTTTAGAGAGATCCACTGAAAAAAAATAAGAGTGAGGATGCAGAAAGTTATTAGAAATTATCACAAATTAAAAACATTTACTGGTGCAATGAAAAAGTAAATCCTAATATAAAACACACTCAACCTAAGAAGCTACAAGAAAATATATTTATTGCACTTGCCAGTAATTAATTAATACTACTTATTAAAAAGCATGGCACAGTTAGCTAGCTGTATAAATGAACCAGTAGGTTTTTTTAATTGCATAATGGAAGAGTAATTCAAGTGAGATTTGAGCAAAAATAGAAGGGCTTCAGGAAAAGTGAGCTGTCTGGAAGCTCTTTTTTACATACTAAGGAAAGACTCTCAGAATGTCTACTGTTAAATAGACATCTTTTATGATGAAACATAATTACATAATTATAGGGACAACACCTACACTGAAAAACATAAAATTCAGATGATTGCTATCAGCAAAAAGTCCCACATTTAAATTCTGATTTACCCTGACAGTTGCATTACATGTCTTACCTTAAAGATTTCATCAACATCTCTTGTTCTTCTGTGAAAGTTGTTAACAATATTGACAGAATTAATGACAGATTTCATTGAAGTCCAAGCATGTTGTTCCTTTTTAATCAATGGCTGCTCAATTTTTAATAACAGCATTTCTTTTTCTGGCTATCAATTTAGCTTTTGATACCTGGCATAATACCTTATTGTGACAAAGATACTGCTCCATGGAAACTCACTGTTCTTCAGAGACATGCTTTCCATGTTGTGATTTTGTTTTTTGGGGGGGGTAGGGTGGTGGTGGTTGGTATGTGTTTGTGTGAATCTAATAACTCGACACTGATGGCAGTTCACAGACATCTCCCCGAGCAAACCATGCTAATGGAAAAGCTTATCACTGGTAGCGGCCCTTGACATCAGCTGGACTTTACAATCTCCGTTCACCTACAAAGGTCCATTAAAAATTCACTGTAGGCAGAAATGTCCAAGTTCGAGCAGACCCATCTATCTATTTTTAAAAAGGGCATAGCACATTTTCTGTTGTATATGAAGTTCTGAACTAGTCAAATGTAGGCCATTTGAACTGGCCTGAAAAAAGAATTACCAGAAGCAATTCAAAATTAACTCTGGAAAAAACAATCTCCCCCTACCATCCAAAAAACCTCAAAACAAGCAAAAAAAAAACCCAACCAAACAAAAAACCCCCAACCAATCAGCCAAAAAAACCTCCAAAGCAAAAAAAAAACCACCCCGAAACCCCTCAAACCAAACCAAAACCACCTCAACAAAAACTGAAGCACAGGAAACAAACAAAAACCCCTCTGAACAGTTCTGTTATTTTTAAAGACACCTTTACAACCCAATCAGTACTTGTAAAATCTAAACAGACTAAGGGTCCCTCTCACACACAGTGGCAGTACATCGTTTAGTTTGACAAATCAGCCTCTGCACTGTCATTTACTAAAGTAAATTTTTCATGATTCTGTCTATGAAACACCCTTCAGTGAGGTGCTCTTTGGATTTTATCATAAAATATGTGATACACAGACTACTGCATTGAATAAAGATCAACAAACAGCGTCAGTGCAATCTATGGGGAAAAGAACCACAATAATTTCTGCAGCTGAAACTTTGTTGATAGTTTAATTTTAACCAGAATACCTTCTGAAAGAACACAAATACTTTGTGTTTGTACTGTTTAAATATTTTTTGAAGGTGAACTAGGCAAACTATAATTTTTTAACAAGATGTGCCGTGAAACACACCTTTTGATTTACTGACAATGTTTTATATTCTGGCTATCTCCAACAGATAAAAATGAACTTGGTGCTTTTATTCTTCTATCTTCCGCTGTAGCACATTGCAAAAATTAGTAACTTCAGCATAGACAGATTTGAAGCCAGGTGATAAGATCCAGTTTCATTCTCAAATTCTGTTATCACCAGCACCCCAGAGTGCAAAATTCTTTCATCCATGTGGTTCTTTTACTTTATCTAAAAAAGTAAGCTCTTGAACTGTCTGATAAAAAGGCATCAATCACACAGTAGGAAGGAAAAGGACAGACAGTCAAAAGAATGAATTAGTCTAGAGAACATACAAGATACTGCTTCATATTGTTGATGGATTACTGTCCTTGATCAGCACTGTGTTTCCCCCTCCACAGCATCCTGGTTCTCAAGTGTCTTTGCTCAGACGCTTTACAAAGAAAGGACCAGCCAAATCTTCAAATCAACCCTGCAGAGCTTACATGAGTGGACAGAAATCATAAGAGAAATTTCACAGACTGACTAAAACATTAAGAAGGTTTTGGGATTTGGGAATATTTTCATAATAAGTACACACCAGTGGCACGTGTTTCTCTGTAAGAAATCCCTCCTCTTGAAGTTTGTCTCTAAAGGCTCTAAAAGCTGCAAAGAAGAAAGATGGGACTTCCCCTACTGCATTTCTAAACCCCTTTCACTTCAGGAGAAGATGACAAAAGATGGGACTTCCCCTACTGCATTTCCAACTCCCTTTCACTTCAGAAGATGACAAATGGCTAGCAAAGGCAAGGAGAATCTCTCACTAAACTGGAAACTAAAGTTAGTTGTACAGCAGAAAGCTGATAAGTATTTCTCATCAATTCTGGGATATCCAAGCTCTTTGGAGTAAGAAAGAAATGGCAGACAGAAATTTAAGCACAGCAGCAAAGTAGGAATAAACTCTAAGAGCAGCAGCAAAAGTTTATAAGAAAGAGGTGTCAATGATTGATAATAAAATAAGAGGATGAAGAGGCACCAGAAAAATTTTGTTTTGGAAGAAAAAAAAGTATGTGGGAAAAGTAAATCTTAGCAGAAGTGAGAATCATTGCCATCCACAAAATGGCCAAATCAGTCTGAATCAGAAAAAAAAAGGATGTGGTTACATATTGGTGAACTTTGTTTAAATGTATATCCTCATTGTTTCTCTGGCAAGCCTTCTAAAGAAATAAGAAACTTCAAATATTAATATTGCTACCTAGTATTTGTATGCTAGTTGTTCTTCGATGCTAATAACTACCTGCATTGCTATTGTCTCTTGCTCAAATTCTAGTCTCTCCCCACCCTGACCATATCAAAAGATTAATTTTTTTTCCTGGAAAAGAAATACCTGAGAAGGTCATTCTTCTAGTGTCCTATTTCAAATTCTCAACTTCCTATACCAGAAGGAGAATTGTGGAAGACTTCAGATGTAAACTGAAAGTTGAGACCTACTGAGGACCTATGCTTCTTGTAGCAGTTATCCCATGTAGTCAAGATACATAAGTTATATTTCATCACACATTTGCATATGTGACAAAAAACATGTGCAGTCTGGTTAAAACAGTTTTCAAAGGAAAAATAATACAGTTCTCAACCTAAAGTTAGGAGGCAATTTTTATGTAAGCCTCAATCCTTAAATAAAGGTACTTAACATAATGCACCTGATACCTCATCTCTTAGGTGTATATAACACAATGCACATTTTAATTCCACTGAATCTGTTAAGTGTTATAAAGCTCCTTATTTTGACATTTGTCTCAGGTTTGGTCATTTCGGTTTTTAACATGCAAGTCTCTGATTCATGGCTATTGCTATTCCCTAAAACAAAATATCCTCACTCAACCACCAAGAAAAAAAAGAAAAATCTGAAGTGCTGGAAAACACAATTAAAACCTTTTAGTCAAAGCACCTGTAGCATGCATTGTTTCTTAACTACCTATTCATATATTTTAGCAAAGCAAGCTCAAGACAACTGTTAAGCATTCATAAGGCCTCAAGTCCACTTCATTTAAGCCATTAACATTATTTTAATATTGATGTTAAACATTCATTAATATATTATCACTAGTGAAATTGCACCGAAGAGGAAACAAATTTATGATCCAGCGTCCCTTCCTGATTTTTTACATGTTCTAAACCAGACCTTTCCGTAACTGCAAATATATAATATCTTAGTTTTTAAAATATGAAAATGTTTTTCACTGCACCGAAATTTTGTTAGAAAATATGAAAAGGCCAAATGACCAATTATTGCTCATAGCTGCACACTGGGGCCATTGTGTTTTATGCCCTGCATTTTAAACCTCGCTTGTTGGAAAAGTGACTTTTATTGGCAGTTCTGCAAAAATCATTTATCTTTTACTTAACTGCTGGTACCAGAACTGCAAAACTCAACTTTTAGTAAAGCATTCAGACTATGCAAACATACTCTATTTCATGAACATAATGCTGGCACGTTTTAAACAGCCAAAGAAATATTTTCATCATTCTTTTCTTAGTAAGTACTATTCTGGGAATTGACAACTTTTCTTTCCTTCAAGTGTTATTTCCCCAGTGTTAAAGTGTCAGCCTCTAGCTACATGGCTTTTCACTTCTCTCATGTTTGACAGGGTATGAATGACCAACAGGAAACAAACTTGCATATGCCAGGCTCCCATTAACCCTTCCCAAGTAAAGCCCATAGCATTTAAATCACAGAGAAACATTTAAAAGGATTAGAGATGAGACACACCTGATTGGAATGAAACTGGTTAGAGAAATAAAAGATCCCCACTCAAACTTGAAGTGAAAAATATTTATTTATGGCATGCAAAACTATAAAAATTACTATGAAAACCCTCACAAGATACATTGCAGTAGCCAGACAAAAGCAAGCAAGTATTTTTAGTAATGCTTACTAGCAGTAAAGCACACAACATTAAGAAGCAGTGTTGGAGTATCAGAAAAATACTGTCCACTGGAGAAGTACTGACAGGCAAGAAAATCTGTCTGTTCTCCAGAGTAGACAAGGTTGATCTTCAACCGGATGGGACTGGTATTGCACCTTTTCTAAAGAACATGAAATATTGAAAGAGATGCTAAACATATTATTCTAAAAGCTCTACATGCTGCAATCACGCCAATCTGTTATAGAAAACAGTGAAAGAGCAGCACTGCAGATCTTCTGAGGTATTTTCTATTTACCCCAGAAGACAGAAATCACATTAGCTGGGGCTTCACACTTGTGCTTTTGCAGTAAATGAACAAACTCTCAGACTTATGTTTTCGAAAACAAAAAACTAAAATTAGGTATTTGGTAAAATTCTGGCACAAAGAAATGAAAGGGAACTTGAGAGAGAGACATCAGTTGTACTTTCATCACATAAGGGATGGCACGGTATGGTTTTTCTTTTTTGCAATTACCAGGTAACAGAGGCAAAAACTGCTGTTTCAGAAGCCTGAGGAATAAAATCTGTTTTCCAAAAGAAAAAAAAGAAGTTGAAAACATTAACCCCCTCCACTGCTCTAAGAAGACTTGTAATAGAGTCTGCAATACAGTTCAATAACTTCTAAAAATGAATAACCTTCCTTCAGAAAACAAAGAAAGATTACCAGGCTAGAAACTCAGTATTTTAGGAAGGTATTTCAGAAGTCTAGGTGTTGCTCACAGATATTAATATATTTAAAGGGTTTTTTTTCTCCCTAAAGCAGTTAAATAATTAAAGAAGATTTCATTACATTTGCTTTTTTTGTTCATTTTTTGTTTTAAGACCAAAGAGATTTTACTAAAGAGCATAATATTTTTATGTGCCAGAACTTGAAAATTTGCTGGAATCAATTACTAAAAAAGAGAATATAGAGAATGACTCTATCAAACACTTCTTCTACTGAAAAGACAGCTGTAAAACTCTGATACCATAGAGAACCACCACCCTGCTGTCTTCCTTTCAGATCATATACATCACAACACTGCTTATTAGGGTACCTGGAATAAGAGTTGCCTTTTCTAATTCACTGTGATTGTCCCACGAATTCAGCAGGAGCAGGATAACCTTTGGAAGAATGTCTGGAAGAATGAAATTCTGTTCAGGCTGAAAGAACACTTCATTTAAATTGATGATTAAATATTTGAAGAAAAAGAGGATTTCAGAAGCATGGCAGAATAACGTGAAGATGTACTTTGGTTTATTTTCTGTGAGCCAATTTTAAGTGCTGCTGCAGGAAAACCAAACAGGAGATTTGTTATAGCTTTTAAATCATGCAAGAATTTTATGGAACCATAATTCTGGGAAAGATTATTTTCCTGAAACTCTCTTCATGTACCCAGACTTATGCTGTTGCTCTGGTAATCCAGTAAGGACAGAATACAGGTCTTATTTCAACATTTTTTTTCCTCCTTAAAAAGGAACCTCTATCACTACACTTAATTTATGTTCCTAAGTGATGGCAGAAAAAAGATAAAAAAAAGGATTTGTCTACAATAAAGGAATAGCTTTTTAGAGTCTGAAAAGAAGAATGCAATTGTAGGATTTAAAAACTAAATAAAGGATTTGATATGCATACCATGAATAACCCCCTCGGAGGGCAAACTCATGCCATGTGGTGCTTATCCATAGTTACTATACTGAACTATGAATTTAATAAGTGCATATGCTATTGAGGGGAGAAGAGATAGGAAAGAGAAAAAAGAAGTTAGGACAGAATCTTCAGTTTTGCACTATTTTTTTTAGCTATGATGAACCAAAGGTTCTTTACACACTTGGCAATCATAGGTTACTGCTCCAGTGGAGGTGTTTGGTCAAGGTGAAAAGAAGGATGAATAAAGACTGAATATAGCCCTGGGTTCCACTGCATGGGATGGCTGGAAAATGGGCAACTGGGCAAAGAGAACAAGGCTGAATTGCCCATAGACAAGCAAATTAAAAACCCAAGATCTTCACTTGAGCGTTATTTCTGGAAACACATAGTGAAGTTTGTGCCGCTCATTTTTATCAAGCCACAGCAAGGCTGGAGAAGCATAAACCATCCTGCAGTTTCACCCAGCAGCTCCCCTATCACTGGGCTTGTTTACAATTCTGAGCGTGGCATAAGAGAAAACCATCTAGTCAGAGACCAAACTTGTCCACCCTGAGATATGTAATATGAGCAGAGGAGACCATATTATAAAACTCTATCAACAAATTCCATTAGATTCTTCCTCTCTTAATTGGCTATTTATAAAGATTATGCATGAGACAACATATTCATCATCCTGTGCACATATTTGAACTCTATAACGAAATATACATAACAAACATAGAGACGGCAATTTAAGAACACAGAACAAATACAGCATAGGTACAATTTTCAAAAACTCAAGTGTACATGTCAGATTTAAAAAAAAAGTGGACTCTTTCACCTCCTGAAGCAGATGGGACACTGCCATTGATTCCAAAGAAGTCAGGTTTACAGTTAGGAATTCTGCAATTGTCATAAGCACCTGGGAGGCTCACTTTAAGGTAGTGAACTTTATGCACTGACAGTAACATGAAGGGTTAAAAATATACATATGCTTTGGTCATGGTTCTCTTACAAATGTAGTCAACTAGGTAAGTAATGCTGCTCTAACACACTAGTGAGTATACTCCATTTGTAAAAAAAAAAAAAAATAGAAACATTTAAATGGAAGTTGATTTTGCAGTAGCATTAATTTCACTGCAGCACTTTTTTTTTTTCTTTAAAGAGGGAAAAAGGATCACCATATTTCCAATATTAACTCTTAAAGTGTGCAGACTAGCAAAATTCAATTTTCCAGGATGGTAAAGGGGATGAAGGGGGGAAGAAATAACACAGTATTTAAGTCATCTCATCTCCACATAAGTGACTACAGCAACTATATAATGAAGACTTTATTTTTACTACCTGCTCATTACTTTTGATTTCTGAACCTCTGCCTCCACAAAGATTATCTTCATTATTGTTTGCACTCATCGCACCGTTGCTTAATTCTGGTGACCTAATTAGGTTTGATCCATGTCTGTTCCCACTGGGCTTTGTTGTTAACACCGCATCCATCTTGTTAAAATGTGGTACATAATTTTCATTTGACCCTTGAAAAGTTTCAGAAGAGTCTTCCAATGACAGGTAATTGTCTAGCATTTTTGCTCCAGCAATTGACTGATTTGGGCCTTTTAGCATACCAGCTGGTGTTAGCATTTGACAGGTAGCACCAGAACAGTCTTCTTTGTGATCAGATGAAGCAAAACCTATCTTTTTACCATTAATAAGTGACATATGTTCTTCTAGATTCAAGCCAGACACCTGTGTGCATACACACGGAGCTTCTAAATGACGATCATCAACCTGGTGATTCTTTGGTTCTGTTTCTGGTGGACTACTAACAGCAAATGAGTTAAGATTTCCCTTTGAAAAAGCAACCTCATTATTATTGTCTAGAGGTAGTAATTCTTGTGTTAGGAAGTGATTTTTCCTAGCTAGTGGTCCACTGTTGGTTACAGATGTAAAAAAGTTATTTGTATCTGCAGGTTCAAGTGGTAGCTTTGGAAAGGTTTTAATTTTTCTCAAAGAACCTTTCTTAAAAATGCCATCTCTCTCCACGTCAATAACACATGATTTTATATCCAAAGCAACACTAGCAAAGCTGTCAGTATACACTGCATGTTTGTCCTCTTCTTTGCTCTTTTTACTTTGAGTTGCAAGTTGAGAATGTTGAGTTTTCTCATTATCCAGATCAATTTGCATTTCCTTTAAACCACTTTCTCTGCCAGTCACCATGGTAACTATAGAAGAGTTGTTATGACAGGTAGTCGTCACATCTTCCACCGCAGACGAATCACCTGCTATGTTGCTTTTCTCATTTGAATACAATTTAGATCCCAAGCTTCTCTGACACATTCTTCCCTTCCACATGCTATCACAGACATCTAGATGAAAAAAACCAGATGTTTATATTAGATGCGCATTTAAACCTTCTAATCCTTTCTAGTAAATCTTTATATTGATTTTTCTGCCACTGCTGTTATGTATCTTCAGTGTGTTAAACAAATTAACTATTTCTGACAAGTGACTCTGAATCGTAAAGGACACTCTAAATATATTAACTATGTTAATTAAGAGTTGTATGTTCCCTACTTCCTACCCCTAACCTATAAATATTTAACAATGACTCTTTGAAATCTAAAAAGGAACCTATAACAGGAAAGCACACAAACATAGTCTTTTAAAATTCATTTTGTATGTCGGGCAATCTAAAGTTCTAGACTAAATACATTTTAAGATTACCTTGAGAAGCACCAAATGATTCAATTGAAAGAACTCTTCTTCCAACAGCAGACAGGCTTCGACAAATATTACTTGAGGAAGCAATCTTCATTTTTTCTTCACATAATGACAAAATGCTCTAGAGAAAATTAACGTTAAATACTTATTATGATGAATAATAAGAATAATAATGAATAGATTTGTGAATTTTGACTAAAGTGAATCATTTTAACTCCCACATTGCATCTGAATTTATACTATACTACATTGGAGGTCTTTCTTGCACTATTCATTATACTGTGTTTCTATTATGTAGTTGAATTAATTTCTGTTTTTTACCATGGGCTATTATGAAATCATTTAATACAGTTCAAGTTTTAGCCTACAGTTAGAACACCAAGAACAACTGATAAAAATTATCTTGAATGTTATTATGAGTAACATACTGAAAATGTAAAAAGCTAGTGTTGAGTACTTTTTTAAACAGCCAGTGATTCACTTGAATTGAGTGACATGGGCAGGATGATGAATGTTCCTGAAATTACATTAAAAGTAAACCCTGGATCTTTTAAAAACTGCAAAATACAAATATCTAGAAAGCACTATTCCCCATTAGAGAAAGCCATCTTTATTAGGATCACAAAAAGTAACAGTGTTTCATATCTCTAATCTCTAGCCTGAGTACCATTTGATGGCATTAGCACTGGTCTCACACACAATTAACTACAGATATTCACACATTTAAAAACCTGTCCCTTTGGGCAGGAAGGAGCAGAGAGCTGCCTTTCCAAATGCATCCCACCATCTCCTCACACAGCTCTGAGGAGATGCTCTTTCTCATTAACTTACTCAACTGCTCTTCTGCTGTTGGGAGTGGAAGGAAGAAATTGGTGCTGTAGGTTCACACACTGGAGTAAGGAAGGACAAGAAAAAGGGAGCCAGTGTCCAGCTGTGCTGGTGTCCAGTGAAATCCCTAGAAATGCCTATGGGTTTTCCCTCCATATAGTGCCCCAACTCCATTCCACCCAAGAAAGTGCCCAATGGAAAAGGAACAGAAAAGAACATACTCACAAAGTGACCTTAATATATTACCCTAGACCAGCCCTGACACACATTCTTTTTGGTTCAGCAATAGCTTTCAGGGACTACAGACCACCGTACACTATCAGCTCAGGAAGAAGAAAAACCTACAAAAAACCCTCACAGAAAAGTAGATAGCACTATTCTGAGTAGAACTGAGTTCAAGAAAAGTCTTATTGGACAACTGTTATTCTCAAAGTCTGCAAAAACATTAAAGCTAAACTTTCACATATTAATGTGAAATAACACTCTATTAGGTAGCCAACAGAATGTAAATTCTTTGAAAACATCAGCTTGAAGAATCCTATACAGTTTCAAATTCATTCCAACAACTAAAGGTAAAATAAGAGGCTAAATGGAATAAAATACAAATTTGAATAAAAATATATAATGAAATACTACAAAGTTTTTACATATTTACAGAAAAACAGCTTAGTAGTAATGCTTTGAACAGCACTGCTTTGAACATGCTGTGGAACAGAGGTTTCTGTGGCATGGCTCCCTCCATCCTCTTCTTAAATGCAATCCAATCATCATACAAATTTCACAGTATAATGCCTGTGCTCTTATGTCTAATGACTCTCTCTTTGTAAACTAAATATTAAATGGGAAGAAACAGTAAATGAAATATTTAGGTCCACCAGTGTATTCACCCAACCCTCTTAAAAAAAAAAAAAAATCAAAGCACTGCCAAGCATCTACATCATCTTTTCAGGTTGTGTCTCCATTGAGTAGGAAAAAAAGATTAATTTCTGCTCAGTCTGGAAACAGCTCAGCTTTCCTGCAAAACCTGAGTATATTAAGACCATCTCTCTGTTAACGAGAACACATAGAAATATTTGTCTAACTTTTTTTTTAAAACAGAAAATTATGTAGGGCTGTTTTACCTCAATATCTGGCCTATTTTCAGGATTCTCTTCTTGCATTTGTTCCAGTAGAGTGTGCAGATCTTGGCCAAATTCTGATTCTGTCTCAGGTTCTACTATATATTCTATTGCTGCTTTCAGTGTTGCACCCAAAGAGTAGATGTGTGCCTGCATGAAGTTCAAAAAAGAGACATTAAATATGCTACCAATTCTCTTTCTCCTTCCACCAAAGCTTCAAGATCACACAGAACACAGTTTACACTGTTTTCAATTTTAATTTACAAAGTAACAGTTTGCTGAAAAGCTGGTCTAATTTAACCATGAGGAACAAAACCAGTTTCAGTCCTGCCTTGGGAGATATACTTACTGCAAACAGAAAGAAATAATCTTGTGGGGTCCAGCTAGAACTTTTTTTTCTTCCTCATCAATAATCAGTATTACATCATCAGGCTACAATTTAACATAAAGCTCGGACTTCTGTATTTGTGTGCAAGTATTAAGTTAGAAGCATGCTGGGAGATTGAAGTGACATTCTTCTTAGCAGGGAAACAAAATATTAATTTGACAAAAAGCTTTATATATAGCAAATATAATAAGTGCTATCAAGCATGAAGAAAGCAAGCAGAAAAAATACAGCATAATACCACTTGTTTCTGAAGACACTTAATAAAGAATTTTAAAAAATACTCCATGTTTGCCACCTCTGCTTCTCAAAGTCCACAACCTTGTGATGAGCTCCAATAAAAATGGTGGTGAACCAGCAATTTTTTTAAATCCAGTGCTAATACAATGAATTTGCCATAAAACACATCTACCTCTTAATTTTACAAGTATTCTGCTTCTTGGGGGAAAAAACAAAAAAGACCAAAAAAAGAAAAAGATCTTCTCAGATCTACTTCAGTACTAATGGTAATTTATCCACAATGGCCTGTATTTTATGCTCCACTCAGAGAACACAATTCAGTAAAATTTATAAGCAAGATTATAAGTGCAAGTTTGTGTAAACATTTCAATGGTGATGCAGTATAGCCAGGAATTCAAGTGTACCGAACACAGCCCTCTCAGATTTACAGACATATACATAAATAAAATAACGACTATGCCTGTACATTAAATCTGGCTGTATAAATGCGTTTGCTATATGCTTTACTATTTCTCATCCTACAAAGAGACTGACTTGAAGGTCAAAAGTAATTTCTTTCCTCTGCTCACCCCCTAACTTTATCATTAAGGTGTGTTTTTGTCTCTAAACCGTATGAAGGGGAGGTGACTTGTTCCACAAGTACGCACACATATTTACTGTCTAGGGAGGCAGGGCACCTCCATGGAGAGTGCAACACCACCTCATCAGGAAGTGCCATGTGTCTGAGGCTGTAGCTTGGACAACTCCGCTTCTCCCCTCTCCTCCATGCCACCCTTAAATCAAGAAAGCATAAACTAGTGCTGACTGATGGGTCTGAAGCCTTGATTTACCTTTGGGACACATCAAGATAAAGACAAAAGTCAGAAAAACAAACTATATGCCATCTGATCTAAAAGGAAAACAATTTTTTTCCAAAGCAGTAATTTCGGTCTCAAGTTCTTCATTATTATAGAACTTCATCATTAAGTAGAAGAGGTCACTGAAGACTTTTGTTTTTCTTTTGAAAATCTCAGAGAAACTAAGATAGGAACTGTTATGATTTTTATTTTGATTTAGCAGAAGAAGGAACGTTGTTCATCTATTTCAAAAGTAAAGGTTACTTCCCCCTCTGGTCCCTTGCCCTTTACCACATGAAGCTACTATAACCCACTCAGTGGGAGCAGCCCTACTGAACTACACCCTTGACAGACCAGAATGTTGGGGTTTTTTCTGGTAAGATAAAACAGATTATGTTAGCAAAAGGGTACAAAACTATGAAGCCTGAGCAAACAGCCCACTAACAAGGTGATGGAAAAAGTTATTTCTTCATATTTACCACTACCTTTACCTGTACTTATTTCATCTGCAGGAACTGAACTCCACTCTAGATTAAGAGAACTACTCACAAATAAAGTATGAATCCTATTAATAAATGTTTAGAGCTTGATGGTTTACAGTCCACACAAGTTAACTTGCTATAAAACTATATAAACTAACTATAAAACTATATAGTGCTAACTATAAAAATTAGCACTACTCTAAGCCTGCTCAAGACTGAAAGTCTGAAAAGGTAACTGGCTGTAAAAAAAAAGATTAAAAAAAAATATAGATTTACATACTTTAGTATATTTCACTTGGTGGAAGAAATTTAACCAAAATTTCTTCCCCAACAGGAATTTATGATTGTTTTAAGGTTTTTTTCTGCAGACTGTTTCATAAGCTTTTGAACAATGAAGAAGTGTACAGCGTAGATTTTATTCCTTGGATTTGATATTAAATACTCTGTTTCAGTAAGCTATGCCATTTTTGCATTTCTCACGGGACTATAATATAATAATATAATATAATATAATATAATATATATATAATGGCCAGTCTTCGCGAGCGAAGATCCGGGGAAGGTCTTTCCACCTTCCAGCCTGCGCATTGGATTTTTTAGGTGAGACACAGTGTGCGCGGAACTGAGCCCACCCTTTAATCCTAAGGTTCATCTGCCGGGGCCAAGCGAGCTTGGACGGTGGCAGCGAGGTCCTTAGGACGTAGGTGGGTTGCCTTTAAGGGCTAACGAGCCCCACCTGCCCGGGAGTGGCCCTGACCGGGAATCGAACCCGGGTCTCCGCGGTGATAGCGCGGCGCCTTTACCCCTAGACCACCAGGGGCTCCTCTCACGGGACTACATAACAGAAAACTGAACATAAAGTTAAAATAGAATAAGGAAACAAGGACAAACTTAAAAATATAATACACCTCTATTTAAAGAACCTTTTGTATAAATGTACTACTGTACTGGGCAGTTTATTATTCTTGATATTAGTAAGTTATTCCATGTATAATTGATATGATCTGCAACAAATGACTTCACTTCTGTTCCACAAAATGACTATTAAAGAAACAAATAATTCACTCCTCTAAGTACTGGAGGGAAAAAAATGTTACTGCACAAATTATGAACATCTGCTACACAGACCAAGACAAGTTAGATGAAATTATGTCATAACAGTGTGGGAACACTTTTGCATTCTGAACAGAATGACCTCTCTTCTGAAGTGAAAAACCTCTCAACAGAATAATTTCTCTCAGTAAGAAATTTTTAAGAATTCCAGTATTTACTGTAATACAGAAAAATTGAATACAATCTCATGATATTCTCCAAAAGTGGGACAAAAAAAATAAGGAGCTTAAAGGGAACAAAAGAATTGGCTTTTACAAATTTTCTTCATCCACACAAGGATGGATACAAATATCATAGGACATAGGAACAAGAAGGGCAGAGCAACAAAGTACCTCATCCCACTTTTTCCAATAAATAATTTCCATTCAAGTGGGGTATAACTCATATCCCCTACTCTGCCTTTAAAAGGACGGGTTTCTGACATGCAAGTGGACAGGCTTTGTCTCCATTTTCCTGCCCCGTTTTAACGAAGTTCACTGCATCTCTTCTTGTACAAGAGAAAGGCCAGTCTCTTATTGAATAAAGAAAGACTTTTACCTCCCCACACAGAAAGTTTTTTTGAGATACTTCCTGACATGCAGGAAAGCTAGTTTTGAAGACAGCCATTTTAAGCATAGCTTGCAATTAATTTCTATGTTAAAACATTTATTAGGAACTTCAAATTCAGCTATTTAATCAGTCTCCTGAGCTGGCAGTATACATGGTTAATGTAAGTCTGTCATAACTGGAGGAACTAGAAAATGAGTTTGTGGTCATCCACTAGGTGGGGCATTCCCCAAGTTAATGCATCAAATCTGCTTCTACTTACCACACTGTTTAGGCTCAGGAAGAAAATTTTACTTTTTGGGAAAGGAGAGCAAGATGGGTATATGCAATAAATAACGCAAATTCTTAAGTATAAAATGCCTAATGCTCATTAGAAGTGGCTTCTCTCAATGAAAGAAATCCTGCAAGCAAGCTAAGGATTCTTCAGTATGCTCTATGGAAGGTAAGAATTAGGAGAGGACAGCAAACAACCTTTCCTTTTTTGGAAGACCAGCCAGAACTGGTACTGAATGTTATTAAAGAATTATGAGGGTTTTTCATCCATAATTTCTGAAAACAACAACAAACAAACAAACCAACTACCACAAAAATCCAACAAAAAAACCCAGCAAAAAACCCACCATACAAAAGAAAAACAAACCAACTCCTCCCTCCCACCACATGCCTCGGTTTAAATCTATATTAAATCTAGAAAAGGAGAATAGCTTTTGAATTATAGGTATTTTGCATTACAGGATAATAATATTAATAGCTGATAAATAGGATGCATTTCCAGAAAGATCCTGAAAAAAAACCCAAATAACTCCAAAGCAACCTCTTAACAATTCCTAAAAAGACTTTTAAGTCAAAAAGACTAAATGTCACTTGTTACTAAAATACATAAACCATGCCAGCAAGGCTGCCCCACAGTATCAGCTTCAAAAAGGATGGGGGGAAGACACATTAGGAAACCAGTTCTTCAGATTTTGTCTTAGAGAGTACATATACTCTTAGACCAAAGTTAGTAAATATAACAGGAATTGTAGGTAAATCATTATTGTAGGCCATCATGGAAATAAAGTGCTCTCTAAAAATCACAATAGCAACACAAAAAAAAGAAATTTGAAGAGTCACAAGTTGATTTAAGGTCCTTGAAGTCTTTCTTTCAGCAACATGCTAAGGGAGCTCATGTATTTCGGAGAAAAATTTAAAGATCATAAGCATACAAGTAGCTTCAAATCAAAATAATTTTTAATACTAGAGTGGTTTCCAAGACACAAAAAGACACAAGAAACACACACACAAAAGATAAAAGTTCAAAAGATGAAGATACTACATTTTTTTTAAATGATCAGACTGTACTGGAAGCACTTACCAAGGGAGAGGGAAGCTTCTGCCATCAGGTTAAAATTTTTTATCATGACTGAAATACATTCAAAAAAGCTTCTGTCAGATCTAATCAAAAGTTATTTGCTTTGCTGCATGCCATTTTATGACCATTTAACACTAAAGGAAGTGAAATCAGAACAATAATGATCCACTCTAGTTTTAAAATCTGCAAATCAAAAG